TTAGATCTTGGACCAATGGGTTGCAGCCCAGGCAGCCACTGACCATCTCTGATCTGTCTGTTTCTCACCCCACAGGCTCCTGCAGAACCTAGAAAAGAGCTGGGTCCATCATCTCTGAAATGCTTTGCAATACACAAGTAATAGGACCCAGAAACAAGGAAATGCACCCCCCCTTTCTTTCGAAGAACTCCTGAGCTAAAAATACACTATACTATAAGATAAAAATAAAATCCCAGAAGCCACGCTCGGTCTTTCTTGGTGATATTTCTCTTTGTTCCTTGGTAGTGAGGTCCCCTGACATTTGGCCTCCATTGCTCTGCATCCTGTTGAGTGTCATTTCTTCATTCAGCAGGACTCTTGGGGTGCTTTGGAAGTAGAATCTTGGGTTTACATAGCTCTGGGGTAAACAGATTTTCTCCTCTTTGCCTTCTTTCTTTCTCGTGCCATTGGGGGCTTAAAGAGGGCTGCATTCAAACCTGGCCGAGACTCCTTCTTTTTTTTTTTTTTTTTTTTTTTTTTTTTTTTTTTGGTTTTTCGAGACAGGGTTTCTCAGTGTAGCTTTGCGCCTTTCCTGGAACTCACTCTGTAGCCCAGGCTGGCCTCGAACTCACAGAGATCCGCCGGCCTCTGCCTCCCGAGTGCTGGGATTAAAGGCGTGCGCCACCACCGCCCGGCTCCGAGACTCCTTCTTGTTGGACGTATTCACAGCATTTCTTCTCATTGCTCTTGGCTCACCTGACTAACCAGGTGGCCTTGTTTTGTCCCCTTAATTGGGAACACCCCATCTCCAGCCCCCAAACACACCCATTCATCAGCTGCTAGCAGATTGGGATCAGCCTCTTTCACATCTTGTCCCTCTTGGCATCTCCCTCCCTCCCCCTCCCTCCCCACTAGGTCCTTCTCATAGACACACATTGATAATGAATAAATCTCTTTCAGAGTAGGGAGTGGGCTGGCGTGTCCATGGGGAAGGCCCCGCAGACACAGGCAGGATGGATGGCTGATGGGAGCCGTGCCGTCGGCTCTAATTAACGTATTGTTCTCTGGGCTCCAGCAGGGTTATGGATGAGCTCCGCAAAGCGGCCCACTTAACCTGAGCATCCCAGTCCCAATCTATTACTTTCTCCACTGGCTTCAGCCTGGTATAAAAAGGTTGAGTGTGGGCAAAAAGCCAAGAGAGCTTAATTTGAGGAGTTCCCTAAAGGTACCTGCCCACTTGCTTCTACTGACAGGTTAGCCTATGGGACATCTGGGTTTGTCTCCTCAGTAGGCAAAGAAAATACAACCAGGAGTGCCTGAAAATCTGATCTCAGTCCACGCACACAGAGAGTCAGCCTCTGCAGATAGACACAAGGAAGTTACCGATCGTATGCCAGGGCTGCCTCCTTATGCCGAGTTGAAGCATCATTTGGCCTCAAACCCAAATCTTCCATTTGCATATCACAGAAAGCCTGTGATCATTTATGTGTCTAGATATCTAAGGGTGTGAATTACACGAGACTCGGATCTCCCCCTCGAGGAGTTTGCCATCTAATGAGGTGATAGGAGCTAGTCAAGGATGGCCACACAGCAAAGGCCCTTCAAGAGGGAGGCTATATGGGCACCCAAAGGTGGTGATAGAGGATTGAAAATGAGTAGGAATTTAACCGAAAGATTTTAGAGGTGGCACTCACAGGCAGGCAAGGAGGGCCACCTGGTTATGGGGCTACAAGGATGAAAAATACATCACGGTGGGAGCATTTGGTATGTTTTAGGGGAATCGAGGGTGATTTGTCTGGACAGGCAATATGAGCACTTGGTTCAAAGAAAGACAAGGGCTCTGTTGATGAACCTGGACTTTAGAGCAGGGGATAGCTATAGCTTGTTGAGCAGCAGAGCAGTATGGGGGAGATTGTATGTGTGGCTAAGAAAGGTGGTTAATCTATCATGGATATGCAGGAAGGGTGTGAAAAGAGACACTGTGGTGTTGAGAGACCAATTAGGAAGTAGGCTGAGATGGGGAATGAGCATAGGGGCTTCAGTCTTCAAATTCCAGGGGAAAAGATAGAAGAAGCGAATTCCAGGGACTTTAAGTGAGATGCTCCAAGTTACTGTCAATTACAGATGGTTCTCAGCATGAATGCCTCCCACCTCCCACCTCCCAATCCAGGGGGGATTTGTCCAAGATCATACAACCAGAAATCAATTTCCAGTGTTCCCAAGTTTATGGTTATCAATCCAGATGAGCTACGATGGCTAGAGTTTTCCAGGTGTCCTCCAGAGCCAAGAGGCTGCAAGGACCCCACTCCCTCCTGACAACTTCAGCAGCTTACTAAGTTTCATCAGGGTATCCCATCCTGATGGTCAGAAGCGTGACTTTCTGTCCACCCTACTTCCAATCTTATAGCCGGTGGGAGCCATAGCAGTCTAGTGGAAAGCAGAGAGATTGGAACAAAAACCGCTCCCACAGCCTCTTTACCTCTCAAACTTGTGTGAGCTGCCCAGTATCTCTGTGATGTAAGTATCTCAGTCAGGAGATAGGCCTACCTACTTCATGAGGGGTCAGTGAAGATTATATAGAGTGTGCATAACAGAGCACACAGAAGTCAAATAAATCATTAAACACAATGGTCCCAATTGTTCATCTTATGCATGCCAAGACTTCTAGACCTAGAACAAGAAGCAGGGACCAAACTTGGTTGGTAAAGCCTAAGGCTTCACTGTAAACTATAGAACAGGAGGCCACAGAGCCTGAAAGGCCAAGGCCTGCATCTGAGAATGGGCTCTAGCTGTGTGATGCTGAGTATGGCTCACCAATATCTGCATTTTCCTCTTCTTCCTACACTTTGAAGTAGACTGTATCTCCCAGCCTCCTTTGTCACCACCTACAGCCACATGACTCTATATTCTAAGCTGTGCAGTGTGACCATAAATGGTACGTGCCACCTCCAGGTCTTGCCCAGAAAAGTATACCACATAGGATCCTTGCTTACTGTTTTCCATCCGCCTTCCTAATTGAGACGCTCCAAGAACCTGATGGGCAGAACAGCTACAAGACAGAAGCTGCTTGGGTCCCAGACTACTACTCCAGTAGAGCATCCTAGCACCCTACCAACTCCCACTGAAGAGGCGTAAGCTGGAGAAACTGTATTGCCCCATTGAGATCTGGGGATGCTCACAGCATTGGCCGACAGTACACTTAAATCATTCACCTTATTTGAGGTCCGTAATCCTCCCCTGCAAGGTTGGCAGCTAACACCTACATCATTTGCACTGAATGGTGAGTCTAATGATACAACTCGATTAAAGGAGGGTCCATTCACACAAGCAGCCAAGAACTCACTAATGTCAATAATCAGTAGTGCCTTGTGCAATCTACCCCTTGAGTCACATCCTGAGCCCCTCATACACCTCAGGGACTTCCAAAATTTGAAGGAAGATGGTAGAGTGCATAGAAGGAGCCTACAAGAATTGGCTATTTCCCCCTACTTTCCTTTGGCAAACTGCCACTTCCTGCATCCCCTTGCCTCCATTCTCCGACTCAATATCCACACACAGAGACTTTCTTAGCTCTTGGGGTAGACCCAGAGAGGGCACCAAACTGGTCCTGCTGAAGGACCACACTCAGTTTGGATTAAGTCAGCACCCTTCACTCATCTTTTCAGCAAAGCATCAGGGAGGGAGCAGGGAAGGTTGTGAAATCCATGTTGATGCATTTATTGCAAAAGTCAATAAGAATTGGACTCTGTAACAACCCCACATCCTCAGGTGTAGGGGAGACATCACTACCAAAAGAGTGTCAGCATCACCTTGAGAGGCACCCCGAAGAAGAACATGCATGTGTACCTGGGCACATATGAGTGATGATGAGGGTGTGCTTAAGATGTGTCAATACATGTGCATGCATCTAAGACATGGGTATCCATATGTATATGTTTGAGTCTCTTTAGAGATGTACACACATATATTTGCATGTGTGTGTGAGGTGTGTATGTGTGTATATACATGTGCATGTGATTAAGATGTGTCAGTACACACACACATATGCATGTATCTCAGTGTGTGTGTATGTGTGTGTGTGTGTGTGTGTGTGATGCACATGCAATGGTTTGGTCTCTTTAGGAGTATAGACATGTATTTGTGTGTTTGTGAGATGTGCATGTATGTATGTATGTCTGTGTGGATGTGTTTAAAGCACGTGCATCCATGTATGTTAAAAGGTACATGTTTGTGCTTATATGAGTGCATTTAAAGTATATACACATACAGGTGAGTTTGAGGGTTTGAGGAGTGTGCGGGTATATGTGTGTGGACCTCACACATGTCTTTGTGTATATGTGCATGTGTGGGTGTGTGGGTACCTTGGGTAGGAGGTGACAGGGGAGAGCTGCAGAAATACCTCTAGGCCAGGCTTTCACATCTCGTTCCCTCAAAAGGATGCCCTGGAACCACAGTGCATAGGCAATGCATTACTCTTAACAGTGTTCCCAGACCCCTCCTGAATCTTTATCCTGGAAAATGTGGAGGAGGAACTCTGAAGAAGACACGTTCTTTCCTGGTGAATAAGTGTTCTGCTGCAGGGTGCAGCAGGCTCTGGGCTCGGCTGCACTCCAGGACCTGTCCCCTCAGCTCACGGGGAGGACAATGTATAAGAAAGAACAAGAGAGCCCTCTCCGGAACAAAGGCAGCTGGAAGGCCAGGTGGGTGGGGGAGCTGGAGCAGGAGGACTGTGGGCCCTGGGAGGATCTCAATTCTCAGCCCTGCAGGAGGCCAGGGAGAAGTGCTGGCAGCCTGGTGGGCCTGCCAGGTTAGGAACGAGCCCCTGACACAGGGGTTTGCACAGGCGCACAAATGGAAGAAAATCAGAGGAGATGAAACCATACAAATTTCGGGTAATAGAAAGAGAGGAAAGAGATGTGTGTGTGGCCTGGGTCTCAGCTCAGAAAGGTCGGTTCCAAGAAGACGCTGGCCAACTTTATATTACTTTTCAGAAAGCCAGTGAGCTGAAAAATAACTCTCACCTTTTTTTTTCTATTATTATTCGTATCTTCAGAGTTTCTTCTTCACATTGTTTTCTGCATCTCGCCTGTTCATTTCTCCCCAGCCTGATTTCATTTGGAGATTTGGCCTGGAGCCTGGAGGGGAAGATGGTCCTTCTAAGAATGCATTTATTTTGAATCCTCAGCAGCGGCTGTTGCTTCTGCCCAGTCAAAGGGTTGGAAGCAGATGGCAGGGAAGGGACTGTGACTTGAGTTAGAGACGGATGAAGATGGACAAGTCACAGGAACCTGTGTGCCCTTCATGGTAAACATATGCATGTATTTGTGCATGTGTGTTTGTACAAGCCTAAAGGTTCGTGAAAGAGCATACACACGACACAGCACGTCAGTAGGAGTGTGCCTTATTAGCGTATTACAGATGTGTGTGAGAGGCACCTCCAGTTGTACATTGTTGTGTGACATGTGAGGGGGCACACACATGTACATGTGTGGGTGCTTGTGTGGGTCTGCCCTCCCCTGTGCAGGTGGAAGGGATGTGGGGTGACTCTCTTCTGTCTCACTTGAGTCTACAATGGCAGTGACTGACTCCTTCACCTTTTGCCCAGCTCGGCGAGGCGCAGATGTTGTTTGAACCAGGGAAAATGTCAGCCCCCAGGAGGAGCCCAGCTTTAACTTACAGCAAGCCCCTAGGAAGCATGGCAGTGTATTCTGGGTATTGTGCTTCGGGTCCATTTGCATTTGTTCTTTCCAGTAACTAAGGGCTGGTGGGTGGTGTGAAGAAGGGGGCACACTTCTCAGTGCCGACAGCTCCTCCCAGCTTCCTCGAGCCCCTGGTGAGCCTGGCACCAAAGGATGCCACAGAAGGGGCGCGCGGGGGAGGGGGGGCCCTAATCAGCCTTGCCCTTATCACCACAGCAACCAAGACTTGCTCTTCCTGGCCTGAAGTACCATCTTCTTGGTTCTAGGTGGGAGACCTCATACTGTAGAGAACAGAAACTGGGTATACTATTCACTGTGGCCCAAAATAGGCACAGCTGGGTTCTGACCATAGCCCTCAAGACTGTCTATCCTATAAACAGTGACAGAGTCTAAGCTTTGCTACCAGCAGAGTGAAAGGTACAGGTGTCCTTCCCCCTCAAAAGAGTCTGCCTTCACTAAGCCCCTAAATTGTGAGCTCTGTGTGACATTCAACTCCTTCTTAGGGGGCCCTCAATGGGCTGTGCAGGAAGTCAGTATGTAAAAGAAAACTGCGCTCCCAAGGCCCATCACCCCGGAAGTACGGTTCATTAAAAACACCATACTATTTAAGCAGATGGCAAGATTTTGGCCAGCTACTTACTCAGGGGCACAAAGTCAATAAGTAGAAAAGTCGAGTTCAAATTTGGCCAGGGGTTCTGCCATCATGGAGGCCACTGCTATGCAGAGCTGGCTTCTAGACTGGACAAGCTAGAAGACAGAGCATCCAGAAAGAGAAAGAACACCTTAAACTTGGATTCCTCCAGCTCACCAGAAGCCCAGGCCCAGGACATTCACAGAACATGTGGAGTCACAGGCCTTGTCAGCTGCAGGAAGCCCACAAAGTGGCTTCCTAGTCTATTTCTCAACTGTGACCAATCTGTAACTGTGGAGTGCCAAGGGATGTGAAGGTGGGTGTGACAAGGAGATGCTGTGTGACCACGCTGAAGTCACCTGAACTCAGCATCTACAACACGGTGACATGAATGGGAGCATAACTTTCAGGGCTAGTGATGTTTGAACACGATGATGGACGTTGGCCAGCCTCAAGTAGTAGATCTTCTGCTTCAGTGGCCAGAGTAGCCTATACGTGGGCTCGGCTAAGATCACCTGTTTTCTTAGTCCTGAGCCAACGCCCTCACCACCACAGGAAACCAAAGGGTCAAGCCCCAGAAGAGAATCCACTGAGCTAGGACCCCAGGCTGAGAAAACTCCAGTGTGGGTTCAGTGGGTTCTGCTCATGCCACCCACTGCACTAAGAAGGCCATGGATGGCCCTAGGGAAGGTCTCAGCAAGAGAACAGCCTGGAAACACTGCCTTTTCCTTAGTACCCTGGCTTCTACCTCCCCAGATGAGAGTTCCCCGCTTTGCAGCTTTGCCAATGCTCATGCACGATAGTAACGGCAACGTTAGACCTGTTCTGGGAGATGCATCCTCATGTCAGAACATGTTAAGGCACTTGGGTTGCCGTGGCAATGAACTTGATTTCCTAGGGTGAAATTGGACCATTCCTTTCTGTGTGAACTAGTGGCAGTGGCCCCTATCTCCAAGGGACGTTAAGGAACTGGGATGAGGTAATTGATGAATTCATATGACCTCTGTAGCCTAATTAGTCTAAAATGAACATAATAGCCCTAGCTGTGTGACCTTGTGCAAATTACTTAAACCTTCTGTGTCTCCATTTCCTTATCTAGAAAATGAGACTAATAATAGTATCTACCTCATAGGGTTAAAAGGGGATTAAGTGGGATTAACGGAGGATTATGCAAGTTAATATTTATAAGGCACTTAAAACAGTACCTGCTACACGATCAGTGTTCCGTAACTTACAATTATATCCTCGGTGGGATTATTTTTGTTAGCACAGCTCAGAGAGCTGCTAGTCCATTTCACAGATGAGGAAGCTGAGGTGAAAGAGATTGAGCCATGGGTCGGAGACTTGCACCTGAAACTTCTGACTGCATGTGAGGTTTCACGGCCCTCTCTCGGTGGCTTTGGTGGCTTTTCCTCTACAGAGACTGCCTAGGAGGACTCTGGATTCCCTCTGTAGTCAGGTTTTATCTGGGGAGGGGGGGAGGAGGTGGTGGGCGTGCAGAGGAAGAAGGACAGAGACTTCTGCTTCTCCCAGACAAGAGAGCAGGCTTGAGGAAAGGGATGGCTTGGGATGGCTTCAGCTCCAAGGCTCTCTAAACATTTTGAGATCAGCAGTCCTCCTCTGAGTCTCTATTAGTCAATTTGGAGGCTGTGGGGTGACCCCTGTAGTTTGGAGAAAGTGAATGTGTGTGTGTGTGTGTGTGTGTGTGTGTGTGTGTGTGTGTGTGTGTGTGTGTGTGTGTGTGTGTGTGTGTTGCAGTGAGGGGATGCAGGTAGAAAAATGGGGAGCCCCCACCCATATCATCTCCAGGGCTCAACTCTCACAGGGGCACTCAAGGAGGACCTGAATGGCAGGGTGCCTTTCAAAGGATCTCCTGCAGATGCTTAGGGAACCTTCTCCAGCCACCTCCACATACCCTGTCACAATCACACACCCCTGCATGCGTGGACACACTATACACACACACACACACACACACACACACACACACACACGCACACACATGCACGCACGCACACGCACACGCGCACACACACTCATACACAGAAGAAACGATCAAGCAATGAATATCCTCCCATGCTACTTTATACAGCAAATAATTGAACTGTACCCTTGTGGTCTCGGTGAGGAGTTTCATCCATATTCATGCCTCTCATTTCCTGTGGAAACAACATGCCACACACCCCCAGCTCAACCACAAGCTAGAAATCTCAAGCACTAACTCAGCAGGCTCTGGGTCCCCATCCTCCATCAGGGGAGAGTAGATTTAGATGGTATGTAACCAGCACGGAGGCTGGCAGTCCTGGGCACTTTGCTGACTTCTGTACCCCTGGTCCCTTTCTCTGCCTTTTTTCCTTTCTACCTTCTCTTCTTCTCTACTTCCTTCTCTGCTCCCTCATCCCTTCCTCCTTCCTCCTTCCTCCTTCCCACCACTCTCCTGCATAGCCTCCCCAGGCTCTGGGCATCCTTCCCTGCCCTGCCTTCCAGGCCTCCTTCTCTATCCCTCACTGGAAAGTTCCGGTCTGCACTGGGAGTTTCAGTTTCCAGCCCAGCTATGATGGGGGGGGGACGGACGTGGGGAGGCGTGCTGCAGTTGGGGAGCTTGGAAGCTGTTTTGGAGTGTGCGTGTCTATGAATACCAAGCGCGTTAATAGGTTAAAGTAAATCTAAAGTAACATTTGAAAGCACAGAGATGAAAGCAGATCACAGGCCAAAGATCAAACAATCTAGAGCCACTTCTAAGCCTTTTACAGCTGGAGGTTATTAGCATTTGAGAGTGAAGAGCATTAGAGGGAGACAGGGGGGAAAAGTTGGAAGGAATTTTTGTTGTGGAGATAAAAACTGAAATAGTGGCAGTGGAAAGGGAGAGCTAGAAAGAGCCTGCCTCGTTTTCAAAACTACACCCAGACAGCGGTGTGTGTGTGGGGGGGGAGCCCTGTATTTTCAGCTCTTCCTCCGCCAGCATCAGGGCTCGGTGCTGGGCCTTGAGGCCTCCAGGCTGTCCTCTCTCTCTCTCTCTCTCTCTCTCCCCTTCCTCCCTTTTCCACCCTTTTCTCCTCCCTCCCCCCTCCCTCCCCCAGACTTCTAGAATGGAGATTTCTGGTTCCCTTCCCCTCCAGGCATGAGACAGAAGGGCCTACTCTGGGTGGGGCGTGGACAAGCGTGTGTGTGTGTGTGTGTGTGTGTGTGTGGTGTGTGTGTGTGTGTGTGGTGTGTGTGTGTGTGGTGTGTGTGTGTGTGGTGTGTGTGTGTGTGTGTGTGTGGTGTGTGTGTGTGTGGTGTGTGTGTGTGTGTGGTGTGTGTGTGTGTGTGTGTGTGCGTGCGTGCGTGTGTGTGTGTGTGTGTGTGTGTGTGTGTGTGGTGTGTGTGTGTGTGTGTGTGTGTGTGGTGTGTGTGTGTGTGTGTGTGTGGTGTGTGTGTGGTGTGTGTGTGTGTGTGTGTGTGTGTGGTGTGTGTGTGTGTGTGTGTGTGGTGTGTGTGTGTGTGTGTGTGTGTGTGTGTGTGAAGCTGGAGTCGGGCTCTTCCTCTGAGCTCCTTCACCTGCCTGAGGGGGAATTCTGACCAGAATATGTGAATGGATGGAGCTAAAGGTTTTTGGTGTGTGTGTGTTGGGGGGGGGGGGTGTTCTGCTGTCACAGTACGACCAAGCCTATCTGCCAACCCTGCTTGCCTCCACACTTCTAATTTAGTCAACACCTATTGCCTAAGCGGCCAGTGTGTGTCGGGCACTCCGCTAGGTGCTGAGAAAGCTGAGGAAGGAAGCTGGTGAGGGTCCAGCTGTGGGGCTGTGCTAGGTTAGTAGGGAAGACAGCCATTAAACCCACAGACTTCCAGTTAGATGCGGGAGGTCGATCACAATCGTTTACCACAGTTCCCTCCTGAAACCGCACTAATGGGAGACTCAAATCGGCAAAATCCCACCAGGGAAAAGGAAGTGGAATGGGGAAGAAGCGTCTGATTTGGGGCAAGTCATAAGCACATGCTTATGGGCAACTGACTTCCCAGGATAGAGAAAGTCTGAACGGTCAGCTTGCAGAGGAAAGCGCAGGAGAATAAGAAGACATGTCCCGTGGGCCCTGGGAGGTCTGAGGAGTTAGAGGTAGCTGGTGCCCTGGAAGTCAGGCAAACAGAAAGACTAGGTCATCAGGTTGTTCACCTGGCCCATGCAGATGGGCAACCAGGCTGAGTGGGAGGAGTCATTCCCAGAAGAAGGTGAATGGGAAGGGAACTGGAAGGCTCTTCAGGGACAGAAGGAAAGCATCAGACAACCTGTGCATGACAGGGCCACTATCAATCCCCTCCCCTAGCCAAGCCTTCAAAATGGAAGCATCCAGTAGACATCTCTCAAAAACTCAGTTGACTTAAGGGAAGAAAGGCAATACTAATTTATATACTAAATTATGGGTGTCCTCCCAAGAAAACTCAGTTCTGTAACTACTCACCTCACAGTAAAAGCCACCAGTCCGATGGGGCCCACTTATGACCAGACAACTGCAGGCCAGCTTTTCTTTTTCTGTTTTTGTTTTTAAAAATGCATATAAGGAGTCAGTAATGCCCTAACTTTTATTTTTGTTTAAGATTTACTTGTTTTAATTCTATGTGTATGATGTGTGAATACCTACCTCTGTGTGTGTGTACCACTTGCATGCCTAGTGCCTGCAGGGACCAGAAGAGTGCATTGGAGTTCCTGCAACTGAGGTTACAGGCAACTGTTCATCACTGTGAACGTGTTGGGAACTGACCCTAAGTCCCCTGGATGAGCGGCAAGTGTTTTTAACCACTGAGCCAACTCTATGGTCCCCAGTCAGGTTTGCTTAGTGACTCATTCACTCAGATATGGGCTACCAAAGAAGTCTTGTCATCGATAATGCCACACAAGATGAAAGGAAGAGAACTTAGAAGAAGCTGGGACAATAGAAGACGAGAGGAAAACTTCAAACGTGGGGTTGGCAAGATGGCTCAGTCTGTAAAGTGCTTGCCTTACAAGCATAAGGACCCGAATTTAATCATGCATATATATACATATATATATGTGTGTGTGTGTGTATATATATGTATATATATGCATATATTTGCATAGTGGCATTAGTTTATAATCCCAGTACTGGGGAGACAAAGCCAGGCAAATCCCTGGGGCTGTCCTGTCAATCAGGTCATTGGCGAGCTCCAGACCAGTGAAAGACTAGATCTCTAAAATAAGTGGATAGTACCTGAAGAATGGCATCCTTGTGTATGTGCACATATGTGCATGCACACCCAAATATACATACCACATACATATACAAACATACACACATATATTCATATATGTATATATAATGTCCTCCTAGAGATACAAGCAGAGATTTCACCTGAAAATATAAGTATACTAGATGGGAGATAGAGAGACAGAGAGATCGCAGATAGGTGTAGATTCAGGCTATCATATATGACAATCAAAGCGCAAGAGAGAGCTCTTGGTTATTAAAAGTGATAGCAAAAATTCAAAATTCAATAAAAGGTTTGAAAGATAAAATAGATAAAATTTCCCCAAAAGTGGAACAGAAAGAGAGAGAATACGAGGCAGAGAGAGGCAGATAATGGCAAAGAGAATGAGAACATTAAAGTATCAGTTCAGGAGGTTGGCCATTTGACCGTTAGGAATTCTAGAAAGGTTCAGAGAAAATGGAGGGGATAATTATCAAAGAAATAATAGAAGAAAATTTCCCCAAGCTAAGAGATGTTGATCTGCAGATTGAAAGGGTCGCTAAAGGTCTAAGGTATATGCTGGCGATGTCTCAGGCACCAGAGATGAGCGGCCTCTGAAAGCCTGGAGAAAGAAGCTCTCAGCTGATGGGAAGGCGGCTCCTCTGGAGAAAATAAGTTATAGATTATCTGATACATTCAGTCAGGTAGCAAATAAGGATGATAGAATTTTCTAGTTCTGTTAAATCACTATGAGTGAGTGAGTGTGTGTGTGTGTGTGTGTGTGTGTGTGTGTTCGAGTGTGTGTTGCACAGCAAAGAAAGCTAACCAGAAATGAGGAGAACAAAGTTGTACAGAAGGACCACTGCATGGTAGTGTCTCAGTAAGGAACTTTTTGTTTATTGTTGTGTGTGAAGATGATACTGATTGAAGTTTTTGAAGTGTGATGTAAGTATATCATGGGAAGGAAAATAAAGCTCTGAGCTATGACCTCTTTTAAAATAGAGGGTCTCACTTTGCAGCCCAGGTTGACTTGGGTTTCACTACGAAAGTCATGGCAATCCTCGTGACTCAATATGAGTTAAGATTTGAGCCATAATAGGAAGTCAGTAGATAAGGTCAAAAACTGTTCACTTATATTTGATATAAGAGGAAGAAGGAGACAGAGATAAAGGCACACAGGAAGAGAGACACACAGAAAGAACACTCCTTAATGGCCACCTGCTTTCTGAGGCATCAATTAACGTTCTCTGAGGTGTATAAGAGAAAGCCTTTGGGTAACAGTGCAGTTCTGATTTTGGTGGCAATTTGGTTACAAAGTTGGATATATTTCTCTGAAATTCATGAATTGGTACACTCACCATCTACACATTCCATTACACAAAAAAACTCTCTCAAAGGAAAAACAAAATAAACCAGAAGCAAATATTGACCTCTCATGAGACACAGTGTGAAGCTTCTGAAGATAAAGTACATTTGTACCTGCAACTGACTTAAATGCAACAAAAGTAGGATAGATGGGTGGATGAGTGGATGAATGGGTAGATGAATGGATGAGTGGGTGGATGGGTAGATGAACGGATGAGTAGATGAATGGGCAGATGAATGGATGAGTGGGTGGATGGGTAGATGAATGGATGAGTGGATGGATGGGTAAATGGATGGAAGAGTGGGTTGATGGGTAGATGGATGGATGAGTGGGTGGGTGAATGGATTGAGTATATACATGTATATAGGCATGTGTTAATGGGTAAGTGGATGGATGGCTAGATAGATGAATGAGTTGATGAATGGGTGAGTGGATAAATAGATGAATGGGTTGGTGGTTGAATGGATAGATGGTTGGACTGGTGAGTAGATGGGTGGATGGGTGGATGGTGGATGGGCAAATGGGTAGATAAGTAAAAAAAAAATCAAGAGACAGCAAAATGTTAACTTATAATCCAGGGTTTATGGATTGTCACTGAAAAGTCTTTTAGCATTTCTATGTATTTAAAACCATAATAAAATAAAATATGTGATAAAATCTTGGGTTAAAATGTAGTGGTGTGCTACTTAAATGAAAGGATCTAGCTAACAGGCAAACTGGCCAAGAATTGAGAGTGACTGTCTCTAGAGGATGGAGACAGAGGTGTTCTGGGCCTGATGGATTTTCCTACAAAATCTTACGATATTATTTGATTTTTAAATTTTGTGCATTAGTCACTTTGATTAAAACACTAATTTACGAAAGGAAAGAGATCTTTTATATTGAGATGTCTATTCAATCATTTAAAATGTTTGCACAAAAGAGTACAATATCATTCTTTGTGACTGGAATGAAAAACAAGAACAAGGGATCCTGGTGGTGAGGGGTGCCTGGGGCTCCTGAGCTGTGAGTTCTGGAAGCTTCTCTGAGTAAGGACAGAGAGGTTCTAGACAAACAGAAAGAGCATCAGAAAGGTCCAAGGCTCAGCTAAGAATGCCTGTGGGCCAGGTGTACAGTGCGGGGAGAGGGACAGAGGAAAGAGTTGCTGGGGCTCTGGGCTCTGGGCTCTGGGCTCTGGGCAACAGCCTGGCCACAGTACAGCCCAGAGGATGCTGCTGCTATTTGCTAACTGCAACTGATACTTTTTTGTCATCTAATTTTACTCTGTGCTGATAACGCTTCTGGAAGCTTCTATCTGTGTGC